CGATTTTTGTTCCCGGGTGGTAAGTGCTATTTTCTAATTGCTTATGCCTCAAAAGGTATAGACCAACGGCTGTTATTCGCCGCAAACTTTGCTCTTGTGACCGGGACTTCACGTGAAGGAACGACACGAACGCACGCCACGTTTTCTCATTGAAAATAGGTAGATTTAAAAATATCACTGTCCCGGTCACAAAAGCAAAGTTTGTGGGGAATAATAGCCGTTTTCGGTACTTTTGAGGCATACGCAATTAGAAAAGAACACTTACTACCCAGGAACAAAAACAATATGTTTTTAGTGACACAGTGTTTATCAGCTCACACACACGGGTAGCACTTCCTCACTGATGTTAGCCGTGGCCAGGAACCCAACTCAGGTTGCTGGGTTCACAGTGCAGTGTGCTAACCACTGCACCACCGCTCCATCATAATTCAAGAATATACGATGTTGCATACTTTATTGCAATGCCTTGACTTTACGACCACCGCAAGTATTGCAATCTACTTTTTAAAGATCATTTACTATTTTTACTTTGTTATTTTACCAGGTAGAGCCCACTGAGCTATTAGCTATTTTTCCGAAGTGACCTTGCCACAAATGATAGCTAAACGAATTGGCTGATTTCATGTGGAAATTTATAGCAGCCAAATCATTTGGACGCGTGTTGATTATAAATGTGGAGGGAAAAACCAGAAGACCCGGAGAAAAATTCACGCGGCCACGTGGCGAGAGACAGGCAAACTCCAAATATACAGCTGGCGTCAGGGTCTGGATCGGTGATCGAACCCACGACCTCCTGAATACCAGGCGAGGGAGTTGACATCTCGCCACCGGGGCGACCCTGGGTGGTACTCGTCTCTATTGTCGGTCCTGAATGCGTTTGTGGAAATTCCACATTCATATGATGGTGGCCAGTCCATCCATCCGTAAGACAGCCACTTTGTAGACCCCCCCGCCCCCCCCAAAAGGATGATCGGATGAGTTTAACCCTGACCAGGGTTTGAACTCCAAACAACCTTCCAATTGTGATTTAATCACCTCACCCACAGTGTCGCCCATTTGGCAAAATGAAGACTGTACTCTGAATCTCAATCAAGATAATATATATATAATTTGGCTTACACAACAACACACAGAGACAAAACCACTGCCCTTGTTATTACAACAATATGAGTACATGCTGTGTTGACACACTACAAACATCAGCATTCCTTGGCGTTGCTCTCATTTTGAACAAAGTGTCCCACCACAACGCAAGTATTGAAACAAGTTCGCCACTGATGATTCGGTGGGTGGGAATTTAAGTCGACGGGCCGATGGTGGAGTGCGCTAACCCGTGCGCCACCGCTCTCCCACTTGGTAACCCAGATTCAATTTCTGGCCACAAATAACATGGAATGGCATGTGTTATCTGAATCGGTTCTGGGCCTCCTCTAGGTTCGCTCAGTATTAAATGAATACCTGGTTTATTGTGTGATCAGAACTCGGGGTGCAAGGGCATCCTGGCCATGGTTCCAGTCGCACCGAGCCCCCTGTGTGGCGATGCAACCATAATAGGTGCCAGCTAAGGGGCCATCCATTCAGTACGTACGCATGGAGGGGGGGTTAACCCAAACGCGTAGCTTGCGTATGGGGGGGGGGGGGTCTACTGACAATGTACGCATAGGAAACGGGGGGAGGGGGGGGTGAAACCTCGATAATAATTTGTCTACATTGGCCTTCAAATCAGTTAGATAGTCCGGCGGTGGACTATCTGTTTATCTGTTTGCTTAAACACGTTAATATTATTAATCCTTGATCGTTTCTGCGTGGATTAAATATCAGCCGTTCTATAGAATTCGGGGGGGGGGGGGGGGTGGGTGTGCATCAAGCGAACGTACGCAGGTGGGAGGGGGGGTGTAAAAAGTACGCGTGCGTACAGGGAGGGGGGTCGAGTTTTGACAGATTTTTGCGTACGTACTCAATGGATGGCCCCTAACAGTACTTACCCCGATGACCCCCCGCCCCCAACCACAACCACTACCACTGGGTCCTGTTGCTCCCTGGCACCGGCAGTTTCTTGGCACATGAGATCTCCGATCATGAGATCTCCGATCTCATGTGCCAAGAAACTGCCGGTGACGAATCTGACCTTCACACGATATTACCGCTCGCGCGCGCACACACACTGCATTTTTCACCTGGGCCATGTTTTATTCAAGCCCTTTGCATCACCAACGTTCGCCGATGTTAATTTCTCGTCGTCTGCAAAAGCCAAACGTCATTGGGATGGCCGGGCGCTCTGTGTGCTGCAAGAGTTGTGGGGGGTTGTGAGTTCAAGTCCCGGCCAGAGGCTTGACTCAGCAACAGCCACTGCATTAGCAGCAGTCGCTAGCAGCAAAGTTACCAACATCGTCAGCAGCAGCAACATCATCGTCAAAAAGTGCTGAGCTTGGGATTGCAGTGTAATGGTGAATAATTCAGTAATAATGTACATGGCTCTGCCCTTTGGTCAAGCCATGCGAGTTGTGGCGGTAATTCGACTATACTTCACCATGCATTGTGATTGCTGGTTGAATAGGGGGACAAAATGTTGCAGCATCGTGCAGTACAACAATGGATATTGCTGCCCTGCCCTCTACCGACAACGTAACCCCACAGCAGCCTACAGCACCTGTGTTTTGCATGATGGTCACCCATCCAAGCACTATCCGGGCTGAACCTTGCTTAGCTTATGAGATTTGACCAGATCAGGCATGAATCTGGTCTGGCTTTATAAATCGATTATCCCCGTGTCCGGTCCTATGCCAGGTCAGTTCCTGTTTCCATAGCGCTCCAGAAACATTCATAATACAGTTTACTCTAGAGCGGTGTTTCTCAAACTTTGTTTGGCCCACGGACCACCAACCCAGCCTCCCGCCTCTGGTGACAAAACGTATTCACTTCTCTGTAAATACCACTATTACAACATTATTCATATTACTGGAACGTACAAACTTTTCTTTAAACGCATTTGTAAGGTATTTTTTTGCGGTGGCATTTAGATCTTAGGGTTAGGGTAGTGTACATAGGGTATAGTTTACCTCACTTCATTTTTAAGTAAAATATCATGAGTAAAATATTAATTAATAGTAAAACCATCACCTTACACTATATTGCGGGGGTCACAAAAAAGATCTCCAAAATCCTGAACAAACACAAGATCCAGGTCCGATTCAACACAGTACATAAAATCCGTGATCTGGTTCCATCTGTAAAAGATGCTGTTCCAGACATACAGTACCCGGGCGTTTACAAACTAAAGTGCCTCTGTGGTAGCAGCTACATTGGAGAAACCAAACGACATATCTCGGACCGCATCCGCGAACATAAAGCAGACTTGAAACACGGTAGGACGAACTCCTCTGCCGTGGCAGATCACTGTTATAATTCAGTGGGCTCACATGACATTGACTTCTCCAAGACGGAGGTTCTTTGCAAGCCAAACGGCTACCATGAGAGAATCGTTCATGAGGCCATCCACATATACAAGCACAGAGACAATTTCAACCGAGAAGATGGATTCTGGCTTAGTAACCATTGGAAAGATGTTTTAAACCATTTCGGTTCTTAATTAATTGTATTATACGGTGATCTTCAGACCGCAGCCCTTTCGCTGGCATTGCCTCTTAATACCTCTCACACCACGGTTAATGGTATGGTTTATAACATGGAGTATGACAGCGCATCGTGGCTGTTTCTCCCCCCTCCTCCGTTCCGAGCGTAGATGGACTCGTCCGTCTGAACAAAGCTCATCGCTGTCCGTGGTGCTAACGTTGAAAAGAAAAATAACCGCCACCCATTTTTTCGCCATATCGCATTGTAATGTATAACGACTTATTGTTAGTAGCTCAGCTGATTGGAGAGTATATAGAGTTTATTGATAACATTGATGTAGTTTATATTTTAGTTTTTTATTAGTTTACTATATGGTATTCAATATATAGTGTAGTGTACACCCAGTTACTTTATGTTAATAGCTCAACTTATTGAAGAATATATTGAGTACATTTATTATATTGATGTAGTTTATACTTAGTTTTTTTTCTTTTCACATCGGTTTATTGTATGATAGTTGGGTAGTTGCAGTCCTTTAGCGTCCATATACTAAATGCCTCTGTTGACATGTAAACTTTGACTTTAACATAGCTATTTCCGTGACCAGTCACATGCTAATCCCTCACATTAACATCATGCTAATCTCCCAGTTACATGCTAATTTCTGACTTTAGCACCCTGCTGATCCAACACTTTAACAGCTATTTCAATGCTAAATTCTTATGTTGATATGTAAACTCCTTTGTCAAGGCGCTTTACTTCTCCCACCCAGCTTAAAAGACGCTGCGAATCTTAGCAGCGTTCATTGAAGCGCTGTCGTCCCGACAGTTCTGTTCCTTCACCTGAAGAAGGCTACTTGTGTTGTGGCCGAAACGTCGTGAGAATTTTAACGTCTTATTTTGTTTCATTGTTTTATTCTCATTCTACGTGACCTTACCGAAAGAACCAAGAAGATGCATCCTTGCAGTCACGAAAGCTTTAAATCGCCCTCTAATTACTCAAGAAAGCCTCACTTGAGTCTCATGGCTGCTTTTCAAGAGCGTTCTGCAGCACTGGGAAACTTGACCACTAAACGATTGGCACGAGGAAGGAAGACAAGAGAACCCGGACAAAACCCACGACGCATACAGAAGGGTAACAGTGAAACTTCGCACCTCCTGGTCAGTTACGCAGCTTAAGCATGGTTTTCGCACTGAAGTCTCCAATTCAAGTACTAACTGAGGGCTCAACTACGCTTAACCTCCGAGGCGTGTGTGTGTGTGCAGAGATCGGGCACGTTCAAAGTTATGATCTGGTTACACTCAATACACTGTCCTATACATACATACACAACACCTACAAATCAAAGTGCCCCACTGCGCTGGAGCCTGAATCAGCAGCAGAAGCTTTGTGTGCCGTCCGCGCAATAGACGCGTGCCATCTCCCACCTGATCTCTTGTATCTGGCCCTGTGATGTTCAGCAACGTGATCATCCATAGCTGCGGCCGTTCGCTGTCCACTTGATCTCACTTTGCTCTCTTCACCCTCTCTCTTTCTCTCAGTCTCTCGCTCGCTCTCCCACCCGCACTCCACGTACAAGCCCTTCTCCACCCCCCGCCACGCTGTCTGCACCCACCCCCCTCCCACCAGACCCCCTCCCAACACACAACGAGCCTTCTCTCTGTCGCCCGCAGCTATTTAAAGGCAACGCCATCTCAGCAGCTGCTATTTTCAATTCCACCCGCCCTAAAAAATCTCCGGGTTTTGAGTTTCCTCAGCCACGTGGGTGGCTCGGGGTATAAACTAACTTGCCGCAGGGCCTGGGGCCAGGATCAAGTTCACAACAGAATGCATTGGACTAAGACTAAACAGCAGCGCAGGCGGCAAGGTTCTGGCCACGTCGAATTTAAGGTTTGACATGAAAATTCAATCTTGATATAAAATTCATTCTTGCTAAAGTGAGAATTGAGGCGGTGCTCATCGCCCGCAGACAGTCCCGAGCCAGTGGTGGAAATTGACAGAGGACAACCACTGTTAACTTCCAAATAGAGTTGTACTCATTTTATCAATCCCGGAGGGAGTATGGGCTCAATCCACCCTACTGACCAGCATTTTAACCCACAACCTTCTAAATTTGCGAGGTGCTGCCGGTAACCACTGAGCCAGCTGGCTGGTTGACATGAGACTAATTTTATTTTATCAACAACAGCAGCCATGGTCAATCCAGTGCTGGATTAAGGCCTACCCGAGCCACAGTCACCTCGGAATATCCTGCGACATACTAATCCACGCAGCACCTGCACATGAACAGATTTAAAGTGGACAACATGGTCTTTAACAAAAAGAGAATTGAACAAAGGCTGAATGTTTGCAAAGAGGCAAGGGAGAGATACATGCTTGGAATTACAGGAAGAGGAGCACGTGGATTAGATGACATATGCAGGTTAATGGCAATTAATACTGTCAATAAAAGTGTGTGGGCTTGTGCAATTCTTAACGGTACATGCCTTACAAAAAACATCACATCTTGAATTTGGGTCTAACCTTAAATATGATTAAGGTCAAGATTTTATAAGTGCTAGCGATAAAATAAAAGTTTGGTTCTGGGTCAAAATGAATGCCAGAGGTGTTTGGGCTCAAGATAGAGTTAGGACTTTATCAGTTATGGGTCTAAAGTTAAAGTCGTGACCAAAGTTACATCTAGGATTCTAATGTTAATTTATGGTTAAGGTTAGGGATGAGGTTACAACTTGGGTTCAGTATCAAAATTAAGGCTATGGCCGAGGTAAAACTAACGGTTAAAGTTACGACTCAAGCCGAGCCTATGAACTAAAGTTACAGTTCAACAAAAGTTTCTGACAGTATAACGAATGCCAGAGTTACAGGAATATAGTTAAAGGCAAGGCTAAGGCCAAACCTTTAAATTGAACCTTCCAAGAAATCATAATTCAAGTGAACTTAAAAAACATGTCGTACGTAATAGTGGTGGTCAGCAGACTTGTGATACACTGCTGGCGTCGCTGAGGTCCAGCGTCCGAACCCTGGCAGCCGCCACCAGTTAAACCGATGTTTGCCCAGCGTGGAGAAGGCCAATTTCCCTCCAGAGGGCTCTCGAAGAGTTCCTTCGAATGTAGGCCCTTCCGCGAGCAGTGGCGTGAGCAGGAAGACTTTCTTCACAATTGTAAATGTTGTGAGTTTACTATCCAACACACCGGCGTGCTGTACTAGTAACTAATTGCCACGTGTTGTTTACGTGACAAACCTTACTAATTGGCTGTATCGAGTGATAGCGGGTTTAACGACACATTTATGTTGACGCGATCTAACCCAAAAAACCTTTATTATGGACAATATTGGTCGCGAAAGCCTACGTGTTAAACTGGCATGAGCAAGCGATTGCAGGGCTGCACCTTATCTTATTTCACTACTACAGTACTACTATTACAGTACTTTTGGTGCGTGGCACAGCAGAATTGAATGTCGGGGTAACTCATGCCAGTCGCACGCACGTGGATTAAGGGAAATCATCTCCCTCAGTTTACCTTCTCGGATGGTCGATGCAAGGGTTAAAACAGAACAACCGACATTGTGTTGCTAAATTAAACACTTAAAAAGCAAAAATTAAACAATAATTATCAAGACAAGGTGGCAGATGCTTTGTTGGGCCACCCTGAGACAAGTTAAAGGTGCAGCCCCAGCAAAATCTTGCTCATTCAGTCTGCTGGCAGAAGAATCCTCCGCCAGAGGGAGCCCTCGAGAGCCCTTACACATGTGACTTTGGCCTGCGCCCTCCACGCTGGTCAGACTTCTTGGAAGAGATGGTAGAAGAGAGTACCCACACTTTACCCTACCACACACAACCAACTTATCAATCAATGGGCCTTTTATGGACCTTGTTTTAGGTTATTCTATATACATTCACACATTATTGCAATTGTGAAATGTGGTCAAACAACCAAATATCTACACAGTGTGGGGGAGGCCGTCATCCGGGTGAAAGGCTGTTTATTATGCGATGAACAAATCATCTGGAATACACCCGATCTCATCAGACTTCAGAAACTAAACAGGCTTGAGCTTGGCCATTGCTGAAAACTGCAAGTTTAATAAAAAACATGTTCCTGGAGAAAAATTTGACCAAAACACCGATTCCTTAATATACTTGTTGGTCATGAAACCATCCTTTTCCTGTGTTCATTTTCATTAACATTACCTATAATATAATCTGCCAAAGACGGCATGCAATGATTATGGTGCTAATGATACTTTGCGAAGTTTAGCAACGTAAGTGTATGATTTCACAGTTGGATAGCATCAATATGTACTGACATCGGGATGTCACCGTATGGTGCGGGCCTGAGAGGGCCATGGCACGTGATGCACTCTCATCGCATACACCCTGTGAGCGGGTGTGGTACCAGCCCTAGTGGGGCTTGGTGAGCGCTGGATAGCGCGGGCACCACGCATCGCGTGTGGTGGAGGCTCCCACAACGGGGAGCGGGAGAGAATGTCAGCCTCGGGGCAGGGTTGCCCCAGGCCATGGCACCCTGGTGGACCCGGCAGACACGTGATCGTGATCTAGAGTGTACACAGAGAGGCCCCCAGGTTGGGGGGGGGGACTAGGGGGTGATCACGTGTCCGGGGAGAACTCTTGAGAGGGATCGAGAGAGAACGAGAATGCTCGAGAAGGCGGGGGGCGTGGCCAAGGGCGGTGCAGCCCCGACCGTAGTGGGATATAAGGCGGTCCCTGAGAAGGACCGGGGTCGCTGTATTCTACAAGCTGGAAGCTCTACGTCTCAAGCTGAGGCTCTTCGTCCTACGAAGCAACCACGTGGCCGGAGACCCGAAGTGAGGGTCCGACCCTTCGTAGCAGTAACGCCTCTGTATAGTGTAGTTAGCTGGGTGGTCACCACCCTAGGCCGTACCTGGTGAAGGGGCAGTTACCCCCTTGTGTTACGTGTTACAAATAAATGTGTTGCCTCTAAAAAGAACGTCTGCGACTCAGTTGGACTCACTACAAATACACAAAGCAACTTAACAATATATTGGAGCCAGAGTTTAAATGATACATTAAAATATAAAAGTTAACATCCTCCTGCCCAGTGACACTTCCATAAAGACGCCACTATCTCCGATCCACGATTTTTACAAACGCCCCGCGTGAAGATATTTACTCATGCAAGATAACATTTATTCGTGAAAATACTGTTACTCCTAAAGAAATGTCACTTGAGTTGAATATATAAACTCTGGCTGCATGATGATAAGTACTCTGCATGTAATGGCTCTTGATCATATCGGGGAAATTTTCACATTTCTGCGAATAAAAAAAACTTTAAGGTCTTATCTGACAAAATGTTATATAACCAATTTATTTTTTGGCGAGCTACATTAAAACAATTTTGCCCGGGGTGGCCGAGTTGCTCTGTTGGTAGGGGGGTGAGGGTGTGGATGGAGTAATGCAGTGTCAGAGCACTGAACCGGCGCGACCACTGGGACAATAATAACAATAGCACTGATTTAGCGCATTTCGTATTCGCGCTATTATTCTTTTAGAGCAGAGCTATCGCGAAAGAAGGTGCTGCTTCGCGTAGTCCTCAGAAGTATTGCAGTAGGGGGCGACGTTTCTGTGTGTAATTCAAATTGAGTAATTGTGCATGAAATTTCCAAGTTTAGCATACTTAGACAACGACACCGACACACAATGCCCTACATTTTTTTGGAATGACGTCAGGGGATCTTTAAAACACCAGCAGTGATAACCAGGGAGGCTTGACTGGGTCGAACCGCAAACCTTCATCACAAGCAGCCAAATTTCCGCCACTAGGGGCTTGTCACCGCAACATGTGGAGTTCGAATCTGGATTGGAGTTGCCTGTGGTTAAACCGGTTTCTCAGCTGTGCAGAATAAAGGGTCTCAATTTGGTCACCAAATATGTACATTTGTTTTTTAAATGAGTTGAGATAAATATCAGCTAAAAAAAGAAAAAAATATTGGATTTGATTACCACGCGACAAACACTCTTTGCAGGACATATAAAGAGGTGTGGCCCTTGATGTGGCTAAAACGTCTCCATTTTAAGTGACTTCATAAGTGTCACTGTGACATCATAAACCACAGTTGGATGAAGACCTCCCCATGCTGCGTCTTTCACGGCGTGCCATTTAACCACGTTAGCCGTGGACTTTAACTGAACTCAGGTTGCGAGGTTCATAGCGCAGTGGCGCGAAGTTAAATTCTAATTAAATCAATATTTTCTCTTTTAAGGCCCCAAGGATTCATGGTCGGATGAGAGAAACAAAACAGAATCGATTTCCCGCATTAGGCTTTAATTGACCGTCGGCTCTTGCTCCATGTACATAATTATGAGGTGACACCATTAGACTCCGCGTATGAAGAACACAATCTCGGCATCGCGATTCATTAATTTTGCGCGGAACAGCTTAGGGACATTTTTTTCATTTCGAGGCATTAATGAGGACAGATGTGCGAGAAATTTTAAGACACCCTGCTATCTCACCACGCGCACGCACTTCCAGAGCCAAATAAAACTATAAATCTGCCAAGCTCGTCGTCAGCCGTCAAAAATATATGATGCGCTTGAGCTTTGA